CAAAGATAATCATTTCACAACTTTTTCCACCGTTAATGTGACCTATAAACTGTACAACTCAGTTGAACAACAAACTGAAATCTTTTAGGTGGAGGGAAGGAAAAATAAAAAACTAAAATAATATGGTTGGATAAGTGTGCACACCCTTACACTAGTACTTTGTTGAAGCACCTTTTGATTTTATTCCAGCAGTCTTTTTGGGTATGAGTCTATCAGCATGGCACATCCTGACCTGGCATATTTGCCCACTCTTCCTTGCATAAACACTCCAAATCTGTCAGATTGCGAGGACATTGATGAGGAGTCCCTGATGGGCACTGATAGGCTGCGCCGATGGGCACTGATAAAGAGTCCCTGTTGGGCACTGATAGGCTGCACTGATGAGGTGTCCCTGATGGGCACTGATAGGCTGCGCCAATGGGCACTGATGAAGAGTCCCTGATGGGCACTGATAGGCTGCACTGATGGGCATTAATGAGGAGTCCCTGATGGCCACTGATAGGCTTCTCTGATGGGCACTGATGAGGAGTCCCTGATGGGCACTGATAAGCTGCGCCAATGGGCACTGATGAAGAGTCCCTGATGGGCACTGATAGGCTGCGCCAATGGGCACTGATGAAGAGTCCCCGATGGGCACTGATAGGCTCTACTGATAGATAAATAACAAGGAAGGCGCCTCTAAGTGCAGTATGCAGCAGTTTATTGAGTAGCAAAGGTTAAAAGCACTCACAAGATAGCAGTCAGATAAATGCTCATCAGGTATAATGCCAGGGAGACACACTGAGCCAACCAGTGGTAGTGAGTGTGGTGGAAAGCACAGGCAAGATGGCCACCGTACTTCCAGGAGAGACGTGAAACACACGCATCGGAAGTGACATCAAGGGAGCGGTCAGACTAAGGAAGGAGTGTCTGTATATGCTCTGAAACACATTACCGCCCCCTTGATGTCACTGGCAGGCATCACTACAGTATAGACAGCAAAATTCTAGTGACATACCGAGATGTTGCTGGGTGGGAAGTGGTTAACCACTTGACACCCGGCCTATGGCCAAATGGCATCCGCAAAAGTGCATTACCTTTCCGGGAGGCCGCCATATGGCGTCCTCCCGCACACGCGCAGTTGGCGCACTTTTAGAGCCTTGCAGCGGCGCAATCTGTCACCGGCCATGTACCTCGGACACGGCCGATGACAGATCTGAGTACCGGCCCCCATTTCCGGTACCATGTGACCTGCTGTGACCAATCACAGCAGGTCACATGACAGTTGTATACAATGGATGGCTTCATTCATGCCATCCATTGTATACTACTGCCTAGCTGTGAATGGTCACAGCTAATCACATGCACATGTCATGTGATTATCTGTGGCCAAATCACAGCTAAGCACACAAAAAAAACAAAAAAAAAACCTGAATGAATCGATGTCATTCAGGTAAATGCTTGCTTATAGCAAAGTAATTCTTTGCTATAAGCAAATTGTGTAAAAAAAAAAAAAAAAAAAAATACTGTAACATTGTACTACTTTGGACATAGTGAAATATCACAAAAAAATCTTAAAAAAAAGAAAAAAAACTTTAATAAAAAATTTAAAATAAAAAAAATAAATAAAAATAAAAAAAAAAATATATATATTTTTTTTCACACTGTCACCAGTCAGTGTCCCTGTTCACCGCCATGCCAGTTATATGATGACGCTGTACTGCACTGGTGACAATATGTAAAAAAAAAAAGTGAAAATAATTTTTTTTATTTTTTTCATTTTCCGAAAAATTATGACAAAAAAAAATACGACTTCAAAAAACTCGCCATGCCTCTTATGAAGTACGTCCAACTGTCTACTCTGCAAAAAGGGGTCATTTGGGGGATATCTGTACTGTTCTGACATTCTTGGACCTCAAGAAATTAGATTGGCTGTCAGTACTTCAGGATTGATCAATTTTCAGATCTATACCATAGTTTGTGAACTCTATAACTTTTCTACAAACTAAATAATACATCCTAATTTGGGTTATTTTCACCAAAGACATGTAGCAGAATACATCTCGGCCTAAATTTATGAAGAACAATTATTTATTTGCAAACTTTTATAACAGAAACAAAGAAAAACGTGTTTTTTTTTCAAAATGTTCTGTCTTTTTTGTTAATTTAGCAAAAAATAAAAACCCCAGCGGTGATTAAATACCACCAAAATAAAGCTCTAGTTGTGTGAAGAAAATGATAAAAGTTTAGTTTGGGTACAATGTTGTATGACCGCGCAATTGTTATTCAAAGTGTGAGAGCGCTGAAACCTGAAAACTGGCCTGGGCAGGAAGGTGTAAAATTGCCCGGTATTGAAATGGTTAAAGTGCATTGTTCCATGTGAGTGCCAATTTGGGGGTTTAATAAATTTTGAATATTTTAATACGGTAAAAAACAATGATGGCTTTTTTTATTCCATTTGAGCCTTGTTTGCTGGAGGATCTACCTTAGTGAAGCAGGAGCAGCTGGTGAAGCAGACAATATCCTATAACAGAGGGTTTGCCCCCAGGGTGGGGAAGGTGTGCAGTGACCCTCTGACACTAAGAAATTGCTTTGCAGTGCTGTTTGTTTTCACAGGCACTATGTTTAGTTGATATTGCACATAGGACACTATTATGATGTATTGACTTTTTGTATTGGCTTTGTCACTATCATTCACTATATGCTATATATAAAATAAAGAAATTGTTTTGAAGTGCTTTTTGGTATCACATGCTAAGTTTATTTTCAGTTGCACACAGGGCAGGTTCATGGTGTTGTTTTATGGACAATATATAAACACTGCTCAAAAAAAATGAAAGGAACGCTTTTTAATCAGAGTGTAGCATCAAGTCAATTAAACTCCTGCGATATTGATCTGGTCAGTTAAGTAGCAGAGGGGGTTGTTAACCACTTGCCCTCCAGAGTATTTACCCCCCTTCCTGACCAGGCCATTTTTGGCCATACCACGCTGAGTACTTTAATTGACAATTGCGCAGTCATGCAACGCTGCACCCAAATAAAATTGACATCCCTTTTCTTCCCACAAATAGAGCTTTCTTTTGGTGGTATTTGATCAGCCGTGCAGATTTTATTTTTTGCGCTATAAACAAAAAAAGACCAACAATTTTGAGAAAATAACTATTTTTTACTTTTTTGCTATTAAACATGTCCAGTAAAAACTTTTTGAAAATCAAATTTCGTCATAAATTTAGGCCAAAAATGTATTCTGCTACATCTTTGCTAAAAAAAAAAAATCCCCAATACATGTATAGTGATAGGTTTATGTGAAAGTTATAGCATTTACAAATGGCGGTATATATACTTGAATTTTTTTCTCTGCTAGTAAGTGACTTATAGCGGGACTGCGAGACTGTGGCAGGCATTCTGACACTGCTGGGAACTGACTTGGTGTCACTAACATCCCCAGTGACACCAATACAGTGATCAGTGCTAATAAAAAGCACTGACACTGTACTAATGGCACTGGGAAAGAAGGGGTTAACGTGGGGCGATGAAAAGAGTTAACTGTGTGCTGTTTTACTATGTTGGCTGTGAGTGCTTTACACTGTAAGCACACTGCTTAGTTTGGTTCTGCTATGCAGAGCCATACAAAGCAGTGTGCAGGAGCTGACGGGAGAGATCTGTGTTGTTTATACACAGGTCTCTCCATCATTGGTAATACTCGGCGATCACTGGGTGCCAGCAAGGAATCACTTACCGGGACCCAGTGATTGACAGCCTAGGCCGCGAATGGCGGCGTGGGCAGGGCGCGTCCGCGGTATGCGCATGCCCCCTACCTGGAACTGCAAAATCAGGTATATTATTGTGTTATTCAGTTGATGTTATAATGCAGAAATCATTCTAGTCACCCAGAAGATATTACTTCTTGCTAAACTGTTAGACTATTTAATAATATGCAGTATAGATTTTCTTATTTGGTCTCCTACTTTTTATACATGAGACATGATAGAGTGGAGGCCCTGGAGCAGGGGCGGACTGACAACTCATGGGGCCCCCGGGCAATAGGGGGTAATGGGGCCCCTGTGTTCTTGCCCAAACTCAAAAAAGCCTATGAAAAAGGTACCAGGGGCATCTCATGGGGCCCCCTACTGACCCGGGGCCCTCGGGCAGTGCCCGAGTTTCCAAATGGTCAGGCCACCCCTGCCCTGGAGATTATTTGAGGTTTTGTCCTCTTCGACACAGAGCTCTACTTTTCAGTTACCAAACAAGTGACATCACAATACACCAGTAACAAGTGTTACAAAGAGGACTACATTGGTATATGTTCTGTCTTCATTACACATGTCCCTGTGTGTAGCTCGAGATGCAGCCAAACCCTCATATTCTGCAATTAATCAGACTGAAGGTAATCTTGAAGCTTTATTAACAAAACAGGGTGGGTGAAACTATGGAAAAAACAGATAAGACGTACATATAATCAATGTATGAAATATACAAACACAATTAAATGATTAGGCTGTGGATGGCAATAAGTCCATGTTCAGCAGCGATGCTGCCTGTAGGGGATGTAAGTTCAGTCTACAACATGTGCCGCAGAGAATTGTGGCTGGTTCCTTTCCCTCAGTTAAATTAAAATGGAGTCTGAGCTCCCAGGATGTACCTGTTTCTTTTTCTTAGAATGAAGGAATTTTTAATTTAAGGCCAAACAGTCTCTCTTTATAAATTTATTCCAGGCTTCACATAGTGGCCACATTTAATATTGTATAATAATTTTCTCTGCTGAAGGCAGTACAGTATAGATGAAACAGACAGATGTATTCTCATGCCTAATTCAGAATTTGCCACGCTTGTACCCTAACTTCTGAATGAAACTCTTAAGTTTAAGGCTGAAGCTTGTTGCAATGAATTTCAATCTCAATATTTAACTGCCTCCCGCTCGCCATATAAGGTAATGAAAGGCGCAAGGCGGTTCTCTCGTTCTGGGAGGATGTCATGTGACGTCCTCCCATTCTAAGCGTGCATGCTTTGGGAGTGCGCAGCACGGCGATCAGCGGTGCGCTGTGTCCCTCGACACAGCAGATCACTGATCAACAGAAAGAGCCAAAGATATCGGCCTGGTCATGTGATCAGCTATGTCCAATCACAGCTGATCACATGTAAATAGGGAAATGCCGGTTATCGGCATTTCTCTCCCCACGAGCTGTCACGCTGACAGCTCAAGAGGAGTTGAGAGCCGGTAATTGGCTTTACTCAGAGGGGACATGTGCACTGATCATCAGGGCACTGATGATCAGTGTGCCCTGATGATCTGTGTAGCCTCAGCAGTGCCACCTGTCAGTGTCCATCAGTGCCAGCTATCAGTGCCACCTGCCAGTGCACATCAGTGCCACATCAATGCCACATATCAGTGCCTACCAGTGCACATCAATACCACATATCAGTGCCCATCTGAGCTGTCTTTCAGTGTTACCTATCAGTGAAAGTCAGTGCCACCTATCAATGCCAGTCAGTGCAACCTATCAGTGCTGCCAATCAGTGCCAGTCAGTGCCGCCTATCAGTGCCCGTCAGTGCTGCCTATCAGTGCCAGTCAGTTCCACCTAACAGTGCCAGTCAGTGTCACCTAACAGTGCCAGTCAGTGCCACCTAACAGTGCCAGTCAGTGCCACCTAACAGTGCCATATATGAGTGCTGCCTTTCAGTGCCCATCAGTGATGCCTGTCAATGCCCATCTGCCTCACCTACCAGTGCCTCCTCATCAGTGCCACCTATCAGTGTCTATCAGTGCAGCCTATCAGTGCCCATCACTGCAGCCTCATTAGCGCACATCAGTGAAGGAAACAAAATCACTTATTTACAAAATGTTATAACAAAAACTAAGATAAAACTTTTTTTTTCAAAATTTTCAGTGGTTTTTGGTTTGTTTAGCAAGAAATAAAAAAACCCAGAGGTGATTAAATACCACCAATAGAATGCTCTATCTGTCTCAAAAAAATTATAAAAATTTCATATGGGTACAGTGTTGCATGACCGCGCAATTGTCATTCAAAGTGTGACAGCACTGAAAGCTGAACATTGGCCTGGGCAGGAATGGGGTATGAGTGCCCTGTAGGCGAGTGGTTAAACGTGTAAAAAAATGTTTTTTCTGTTTCATAAGTTCCAGGTATGAAGACAAGAGGATGAAGTAAATAGACACTAACTGTCTCAAATATGGAGGCAGATTATATACATTAACATCATTGAAATATTTAGAAGGTCATTCTTGAACCTTCGTCACTTGGCCTTGTGAAACTTCTTATCCCTCTCTCTCTTCTCCGCTTTAATGTGATTTACACCCTCATAACACCGTGTTGTGTTCAGTTTAAAATGACAGCAATTTAAATAAAGCATCGAATGCCATCCATGTCTGTAACCTTCAGTCTGCTTACAGAGTGCAGTAAATTGAAGAAGCACAAGGTTGACAGCATTATTTAGAAAAACATATTTTTGTAGCCTAGAGGCGGGCACCAGTGCCATCCAAATACTAGATTCACTTATCTCCCAATTCGCAAATAACGAGCAGGGCCCATTACTTGAACCTTTTTTTATTACTTTTCCGGAAACGATCCATGAAACAGATATTAGATGTAACTTCATAGAGGGAGAAGGCAAGGCACAGCAAAGATTGAAGGAGCGGATTCAGAGGCTGGTATTGAAAAGTGCACATCTCGTTTAGGAGCAGCTACGTACATGTTGGAATTACTGGCATTATCAACAGCAGGATGTTTATAAAAGAGAAGCCCACCCAAAATTAATAACCAGCCTACCTATTGGGGGTTTTTTTTTTTAAAGTAAATTGATATATAATATTTTTATCTTTAACCTCCCTAGCGGTATGATTATGTCAGGAATTTTGTACCAAAAGCGGTACCATTTTTTTGCATGGAAATATGTATTTTTTTTATTGTAGGCCTGTAATTTAGGAATAACTCCCTGAAATCTGTCGGAACAAGAGTCTAGTAAACATTCCGGATATGATAAAACTTGAAACACGAAATCATAAATTATAATTTAATAAATACTCATAAAAAAATAATAATATAATAATAATACATTTAATTCAATAATATAATCAAACCAAAAACACTGAAATGTGAAATATAGCGCCAAGTTCGCACATCACTGAGCAAAGTCGCAAAATCGTTTTCAGTGTCTGATGGCGAATTTCCCCACGAATCATTATCACTCAATTCTGCAAGTGGTTCTGATTTACTATCGCTGTTCTCTAGCCGGTCTAAAACCGATTTTGACCTAAAGGGACGCTTTTTGGACGCCGTAAGTTTCCAGGCAGAAAGAACAGTAAAAATGCAGGCAGGGCACAGGACAAAGCACTCGGGACAAAATGTATGTGAAATGCTTTGATAAAGGAATGTTTTGCTATGAAATAATCGTTTAAAAAAAAAATGTTATTTTTTTTTAATTTTCAAATTTGCCGCCGGTTCCGGCATCCGTATGTCCCGACGTCACAGGGACCGGAACACGGAAGCCGGATGCCGGCATCGGCCAGAGGAGATGGCCGGGGACCCTGTAGGGGACGCATCGCGGGGAGCGAAGGACAAGGTAAGCGCTGTAGGGAATCCCTGTGCAACACTGCATGGTAAGCCCGAGTGTAGCTCGGTGTTACCGCTTTTGGTACTGACATTTTACCCCGACCTACACTCGGGAATACCGCCAGGGAGGTTAACCACTTGCCCTCCTGAGGATTTACCCCCCTTAATGACCAGGCCTCTTTTTGCTACTCGGCGCTGCACTAATTCAACTGATAATTGCGCGGTCATGCAATGCTGCTTCCAAACAAAATTTACGTCCTTTTTTTCACACAAATAGAGCTTTCTTTCAGTGGTATTTGATCACCTGTGCGCTTTTTATTTGTCACGATATAAACAAAAAAAAGACCAAACATTTTGAAGAAAAACGATATTTTTTACTTTCAGCTATAAAAAATATATAGTAAACTCAAAGTTAGTTATAAATTTAGGCCAAAATGTATTCTGCTACATGTTTTTGGTAAAAAAAATCCCAATAAGTGTATATTGATTGCTTTGTGTGAAAGTTATAGCGTCTACAAACTATGGTATAGATACTGCAATTTACGCCATTTTTTTGCTATACAGCGCTGCGCTAGTTTAACGGACAATTGCGCGGTTATGCAGTATGGTACATAAATGAAATTTACATCCTTTTTTTTCCCACAAATTGAGCTTTCTTTCAGTGGTATTTGATCGCCTGTGCATTTTTATTTTTTGCGCTATAAAAAAAAGGCTGACAATTTTGAGGAAAAAAAACAATATTTTGGACGTTTTGCTATAAAATATGTCCCGTAAAAAAAAAATTAAAAAATCAAATTTAGTCATAAATTTCTGCCAAAATGTATTCTGCGACATGTCTTTGCTAAAAAAAAACCCACAATACGTGTAAATTAATTGGTTTACGTGAAAGTTATAGCGTTTACAAATGGCGGGAAAGATTATACTAATAATGGCAGCGATCAGCGACTTATGGCGGCGATCAGTGACTTATGGCAGCGATCAGCGACTTATGGCGGGACTGCAGCGGACATTCTGACACTGGGGGGGAACTGACTTTGGGTCACTGACATCCCCAGTGACACCAATACAGTGATCAGTGCAAAAAAAAAACACTGACACTGTACTAATGGCACTGGGGAGGAAGGGGTTAACTTTATTATTCAGTGAAAGGGTAACTGTGTGAGGGGGAGTGTTTTACTAGGGGGCGGGGGTGTGTACTGCAGGGAACACCGCTGATCGGGAGAGAGAAACTCTTCTGTCCCGATCAGCGTGTCAGGAGCTGTCAGGGAACTGACAGAAAGCACAGCAACTGCAGCTGTGCTCTCTGTCACTGATTGCCGCTAATCGCCGGGACATAGCCGGTAACGACCGGCTGTGACCCGGAGACTGACATCTGCGGCCGTGATCGGCGGGACAGGTAGGGCGGCGGCACGCAAAAAATACAGACTAGCTAACAGAAGAACAAGTTGATCAGCATGAGCTTTTAAAAAACTAACAAAAAAATTATATAAATTCGACTATATCTGATGCAGTCTAGCCAATGCAATTTTCTGAGTCCGTGCCCCAAATAACCCCAAGGACAAAAGGAAGGCAGAAAAATGTGTTTTGTTTTTTTTTTTGTTGGGCTGTGATTTTTTTTAGGGGCTTATCTATGATTTAGTGGGTGGTGGGCATTAACATGGATTCTGAACTCAAAAAGTAGAGATTTTCTATGTTATAGGGGTCATCAGAAAATGTTAAAGTGATTGTAAAGGTTAAAGGGTTTTTACCTTCATGAATTCTATGTATGAAAGTAAAAAAAACCTGTGTGCTGCTCCCCCCGCAATACTCACTTGAGCCCCATCTACATCCAGCGATGTGCATGGGAGCCTTGGCTGTCCTGGGTTTCTGTCTCCTCACTGGCTGAGACATAGCAGCAAGAGCGATTGCTGTCAATCACCGCAGCTAATTTTATCTTATGGATGCATAGAGAGGGGCTCTATGCATCCAGGGACACTGGTCAAAGGGGAGCGGTCAGGAGCACTGGTGGGGGACCCAAGAAGAAGAGGATTGGGGCTACTGTGTGCAAAACCACCAGACAGAGCAGGTAGGTATAACGTCTTATTAAAAAAAACCACAAAGCTTTAATATCACTTTAACTGCGGCTAAACAGTATCCTGAGAAATTTACTTTTTGTCTGAAACTCCTCCTGAAAATTACCAGTGCAGATGCTGGTTTCTGAGGTTGTCTAGGCTCTCCTCTGCCTACAGCTTCATACCTGTAATCTTTATTATGTTAAATTCTAAGACATTGCTGCCCCTGACTGCTTGTCTCATGAGATGTAAAGTAAGATTTAGTGATGCCAGTACAGTTCTGCTCACTGTTTTCCTGGCTGGAGGCTTTCACATCATCTACCAAGATGGCCACCTTCCTACAGAGACACAGTACAGAACAAGATATGGTAACTCCATTATTGGGAAAAGATCAGCTACAGGGAGACCACAAACACTACTGGTCGCTAGTTCTTTGCCCCTTTGACTATCTTTTTTAGGCATTACTTCAGTTCCTCTTTAAGAAGTAATGGACCCGTTTCTTATTATCCTCAATTACGTTATGTTTCAGTGTAATTTTTAATGCAGGGCTTTAAACCCTGAAAACAAGTTAAAAATCCAGTCTCCTACCTTGTTCATGCAGTGCAACTCTACAGCTTTACTTTAAAGCTCTGCCAGCTACGCATACTCACCTTACCTTCACTACCCCATAGCTTCTTTCAGCAACCAGTAGCAAATAGTGGAAGCCTAGGGTAAGCTTCACATTGTAGCCTGGAAACTACACTGGGCTGTACACTCTCCTTGCCCACATGTGACAGCATAGGGTGCATTAGCAACCAATCACCAAGTACCAGTGCTGTCACATGGAAGAAAGGGGAGTCTGAAATATTCTCTGAAATATTACCTGTGCCATGTGCAACTCAGGAAAGACAGGGGGAGATTAGAGAACTCAATACATGGCTAAAGACCTGGTGTAAGGGGGAAGGATTTGGGTTTCTAGAGCACTGGGCTGACTTTTCATTGGGGTGCAACTTATATGCTACTTTTCATTGGGGTTTGCACCTAAATGGAAGGGGGTCTGCTGTGCTGGGGGAGAGGTTTATGGGGAGGCTGGAGAAGTATTTAAACTAGGATCAAGGAGGGAGGGAGAATTAGATTATAATGGGGCAGACAGATCAGACCGGGGTCAGTACTTATTGGTGGGTGGAATGGGGAAAAAGATGGGGGGAAGGCTATAGCAGATGATAAGAAGGTTCCCATGTTATAAACAACCATTGTAATTGGTACCATTTGTAAGAAAATAAAAAATATGCAAAATACGTGTGCACAAGATGCCAATTGAAGTGTTTGTTCACCAATG